GCCACGTGTGGCCAGGAAAGGAGAGGCTCATGCACGGTCTTTGTGGGTGAAACGGCTGAGGGATGGCTAGAAAACATCTAGCTGTTGTGCTAAGTTAACGTACTGTATTACCCTTAGGCCGATCGTGCTGCTGAAATGGCCCTGAAGAAATCCAGTGACAGAGGCCACATTGTTTTCCAGCTGCCAGAGAAAATATTTCGAACCTGTAGGCAGTGCAGGTCGGGGTCCATGAGATTAGTGGTCTCCTAGGCCTTTGACGCCTATGGATCGACACGGTATTGTACTTGGCATCTAGACAATGTTTTCATCATCAGTCCATGTGTTTGTTATGTTTCTTTTTGTGTTTTTTTTCCCTGTTTCTGTCACTGTCTGGATTTTTGCCTGACTGGGGACGGGCCTGTGACAGTATGCTTACTGGTGGCTGTGCTGTCACATTGTTTTCAGATGTCCTTATTTATTAAACTTGTAAAGATAGGGTAAAATCAGAATTTAGCTGAGAAGTTTGGATTTAGTAAAGCAGCCACTTTGCAGGATGCTGTTCTTCCTTGGCAGGGGGGCCTGGTTTACAGGCTAAAATCTCTACAGTCATGGTAAATGCTGCTCTTCGTCGGTCCTGCTCTTTCGAGTGTAGTGTTGATCCTTCCCCATATTACTGGCAAGAGGCTCATGGGGAACACCAGGGTTATTTCAATGGGGAGGAGAGCGCAGTGCATGAAGCCGGAGCTAATGAAAGCACCTGCGTGAACTGCCTGGGGTACGTCTGATGTCCTGTGGGCTCGGGTCTCTATGCTGCTGGTTGCCATGGATTCTCTGCTCCTTTGACAATGTGATGTTTCTCTGTAGCCATCAGCATCTGGCATGGCTAATATTTAGGTTGGAGGCCTAATCAGCTATAGGAGAGAGAACAAAGACAAGCAACACAAAGCTTAAAGGCTGGCAAAACCACCCACTGAAACGCAACAAAAGGCAAAAGGAATACAAGCGTATCTTTCCTGCTTGGCTGATCTCCCCACCTAGACCCTTTGGGCATATTCTGCTGTTTCAGCACAGCCCTGAGTGTTTATTCATAATCAGGAGGCCACTGTTATGGTAGACTTGGCAGATAAATAGGGGAAACAGAGATTGGGTGGGATGGAGTGGGAAAGGGGGCTGGTATCACCTTGTGTCAAATTCTCAACTGTTTGGAAACAAATAGACTGCTCCCTTCCCCAAATCATGCACTGCTTTGCACATGACCCGAGGCTGCAGGGGGGTGAGTCTGTGCACACAAGAAGGGGGGGCCGCTGGCCCCACGTGTTTGTGTTTCAGTCACCGATCCTGGCTTTGTCTGAGCCACTGCACCAGGGCGACTGCCTGTCAGAGGAAAGTTTGTTTTGCCAAACAGAGGGCAGAGAGTTTGCAGTGGACAACCACGGTGTAGCCACATGGAAAGGGCATCACAGGGAGCGATGAAAGGAAAGTTCACATGTGTTTGGATCTGGATGTGGATGTCTCTTTCCTGCATCTCTACTTCCCAGAGATTGCTAGTGCTGAGCTGGAAGCAGGCTGTAGAAGCAAACTGACATGATGGTATCCTGTAGCTGCACGAACTGAAATGCATCTGATGTCAAAAAGGTGCCTCTAAACATGTCATCATATCTGCTTACCTCCTCAAATCACCCTCTTTCTTCAGATAGCAGTTGGCCCTGTTGACCTTCTGGAACAGGGTCAAAGCAGAACTTTCTGGAAAAGTGAGATGGGATGGAGTCTGTGTTACATCTCATCTGCAGAGCTGTCCTCGCTGCAGAGTTTTATCCGAGGCTGTTCACCTGGCTCCACTCAAATATATTTCAGTGACTACTAGGGATCTTATAGACTCTGGAAAAGACACAAGGCAGAACAAACGTGCAATCTCCATCATGTCACCTTTGTGCAAGTCCTCAGCTGCATCAATCAGCGCAACTCAGTGGTACCAATGCAGTTCCCAGCACATGGAAGGGGCTGCTGTGTTTTCTGTGCTGTTGGCCCTCTGACTTTGCAGTTTCTAAGCACTACAGAGTCCTGACTGAAGCCTTCAGTGGATCTTGCTGAAGTAGCCTAAAATGCTGCTGTCCTGATCTTCCATCCCTCCTTTCTGCTGGAGTTTGCTGCTTTCTAACAGGAATATGATAAGGCGACACGTGCCTACATTGTAGCTCTCTCCAGTTCAGGGCACAGCGAATGTCTTTAGGAAAGCACCTTTGCCTTAGTACGCCAGGCGGAGGGCAGGGCAGGTTTTCCATTGTGCCACCTCTGCTGCAGGGACAGTTTCTCCTCGCAGAGGCGTGGGGCAGGCAGTGATGAGGTGGTGGTGTCTGCAAGCAGCAGAGCCAGAGCTGCCCAATGTAGCCAGGAGCCACAGGTGAAAATGAGATGCAGGCTGCTAGGGCACTTTGCAGACTTGTATTCTTCATAAACTGGACACAGCTGCAAGTGGTTGAGGTCTTAAGCCCCCTCCCTCCAACTTCCCTCTGCCTCCTGAGTGCAAACCAGGTGATAAAATGCTAAAACATCAGCTGCTCATGCATATGGTGATTGTGCAACACCAAAGTGACAAGGCAGGGATGTGGAACAGAGTCACACAACAAGGACTGCTTCAGCTGGGGGCTCAGGTGAGGGAGAATAAAGCTCCAAAGCATTTTTCCTTGTAATATCTGTGCTTTTTTTAAGCTCCTGAATGCTTTGTTGCTACATCTTACCATAGCGTGTTTATCTGTGTTGATTACGAGTGATAGGAGCTGAGTCTCACCCTGACAGCAAGCTCTGTTGCTGCCTATTCTTCCTTGAGAAGATCGGATTGAGAACGGGTGAGGATTCCTGTCCAGACAGGACTGAACAGCCCATCGCCAAGTCGACAGCAGTGAAATCTGAGTCATGCCGATTGCTCGCCTTGGAGACAGCAGCGCACTGAAGGGGAGGGAGGGCTGTGTGAGAAACACTAAAGACAACGAAACTCCCAAAACACCTGGTGAAGTTTCATGTGCGGGGTGAAACTGGTGTTAGTGCATCATCCTGACGTGCGAGGGAGAAGAGGAGCAAACTCAGCGTCTCCGTTATACCAGCGCGTGATGGGAGCTGGCGGTGGCCAGAACCGTAACGTGGAAGCAGCTGCTCGCTGTACCACCCTGAGCTCAGGTGCCTGCCACCCTGTGAGCGTAGAAACCAGTGGGAACTGGGTGCCTCAGGCCATTAGCAGAGCTGTTCCTAGCTGCTCTGCTGTGCAGCGCGTATGTGGAGGGACTCTGTGTGGAAGCAACATATTCTTTAATAGTAAGGTGACGAGGACAGCAGAGGCAGCCCTTGATGGCCCTTGTGCTGCTCTGTGAGGGACTGTGTATTGTTATAGGGCTGCCACTCTGCTCAGCCAAGGAGACAGCTTGAGTTTCATCCAGGAGCCTCCCAAAACTATCCATGCACGGTTTATATGCATATTCCTTGCTGGAGACATGGCAGTGTGAGAGATTGGTGCATGTGCAGGAGCGAAGCTGTCTCAGTTGAGCTGCCAGGGAGGACAGACCAGCATCTTTTACCCGCTCCAAGGTCCACCTCTGCACCCTTCTACCTCCAGCCCAGGAGCATTCGCTGAGCACAGGTTTTTCACCCTGTCAGCGTGGGCAGCTCACACCGAAGGGGCTGGCAGTATCTGTCGTGATTAGCAATAACTGGGAGTTTCAGAGATGCCGTGTTCCTTTCAAGAGGAATTATTGCTCTCTGAATTATTCACTTGAAAGTCTAGCCCAGGACTTAATATAAACATACGTAGAGTACCTTAATGGAAACAACATATTCCTTATAATTCATTACCAAAATTCCTGTCTATTTTCTTCACCTTGCCATAAAAAAAAAAAAAAATCAGCAGTTGAAAATGTTCTGCTCTTGACAACTTTGAAGATTTAAAGAAATCCTTCTCATTCTTTATAACTTCTTCCGCTAATAAAAACCAGTCTGCCCTTCTTGGACATTTCCACTCTGATGAAAAAGTAATTTTTGTCCACAAAGCTTGTTTTCTATGATGAACAGCATGAGCTGTTGTGGTGACACCATACACACGTGGCTGAAGGACGTGACAGGAGTACGGCCACTGATTCATCCTCTCTGAGCCGGGTGAACCTGCAGCACAGAGCACCCAGGGAATGCGCGGAGGCACTTCTGTGCTGGCTGCTGGTAGGATTTGCTGGAGGAAAAGGAAAGATGACCAATGTTTCGGTAATTAAGTGTCTGACAGTTTATTAACATAAGATGGAGAGACCTGGAGAAAGTGCCAGAAGAGAGGACAGGCAGGGCATTATTTTGGTATGTTGCTTCTCAGCTCACGTAGTCCCATGAGCCTCACCTTTGTCAGGAATTTTGTAGTGGAAGGGAGGGTGTTGTGATCTGCCTCTCTGTTTCCCTCTAAGTAAAATCATATACAAATGATTGAAAAAAGCTAAGTTAGACTGGAACTAAATTTAAAAACCATAAACTACAGCGAAGAAAAATGACAGGGTTTGGTTTCATCTGGGTAGGTCAAGTTCTCTGAACACTGAGTGATCACTTACATTTGTGGGCTGCACTGGCCTTTCGCTCCAAATTCAAGGAAATAGTTTGCAAAGTCTCCCGATCATGTTGCATTGAAGTTACTGACCAACATCCCACCTTGACGGTGCGTGAGCTGGCTGGCTGGTAGCGTGTGCTTGCTGAGGAAGGAGCAGTTGCAGATGATGTGGTGTTTTGCATCCGTGGGACAGGAGGAAGGAAGCAGAGGTACATCTGCCTCCCTGCACGGCCTCCCCAGAGAGACTCTGGCCTGATTTTGTATGTAGCTACAGGCAGAAGAATCAGTAATCCCAGAGACTCTGGGAGTTCAGGACCAGGAAAGCATCCCTGCTCCATTCCAGCAGGGCCTTTGGGAAGCCCTTCATGCATTCAGCTGGGTGGCGTGGAAATTGCTGTGGAAAATTAGTATCCTTCATTCCGTTTCCTCTGCCTGGCTCAGTTTTAGATCGGTGCGTCTGATGAAGAATGACACCATGAACTTCCAGAAATTCCCCTATACCAATGAAGACGAAGCCTGGAAGACCTACCTAGAGAACCCCCTGACAGCAGCCACCAAAGCGATGATGAGGGTGAATGGAGATGATGACAGCGTGGCCGCCCTGAGCCTCCTCTATGACTACTACATGGTGCGTCCCCATCGGGGCTGGATGTCTTGGGGGAGTTTGTCCCAGAGGAGAAGCGTGAAGTTAAAATACATGCTGAGCCGCCCTAGGAGAGTACCCCTCTCCTGAGCTCTCCGTGCTGTTTGTGCAATGAACATTGTAACACCCCCAGGCATAGAGTGCCGCTGTTATCCACTGTGCACGGGTGGTAAACTGAGGCACAAAACACCATTATACTGTAGAGGGTATCTGGGTTCCACCCAGAACAGGGGGAAAACTGAACCTGGGTGTCTTGAGTCTTAGCCTGGTGGGGTTTTTTACCAGACAGTTTTCATACAAGAAACAGGAATGCTTTGAGACACATGGAGCTGGAATAGCTAGGTGCCTTGCAGACCCTAGGATCTTTATTTTTCCAGCGCTGCTGTAGGATGGGGCTTCGAGAAGTGTGGATATGATTTAGCCCTAACTGAAACCAATGGGACTGATGTTCCCATTCACTTGGGTGCTTTTGGAAGTCCTTCCCAGAGCAAAATGATGTGGCTTGCCTCAGGTTACCTTGGGAATCCACAGCAGAAGCAGCAAGAGAGCCCAGGCCTCCTGTGTTTATTATTCACCCAGTGTTTTATCTGTGAGACTTCACTTGCTACACAGACATGGCTAATTTTGCCTCTGTTTTCCATTAATAAAATCTAACAATAAACATATTCTTTGTTCTGCCTTGTTCTAGGTCCCAAAGGAGAAGAGGATTCTTCCCTCTGGTGTGATGGGACGCAATGAACTAGGAAAGAGGTTAGCTTCATTTTTTGCTCTCTATAGCTGTCTAATTCTCCTGCAGCTGCTTGCATGCATGATGGGTCTCTTAGCTTGCATAAAATAGACATCAAAGCACAGTGTTATTACCAACAACAGTGGAGGTTATTAACCCTGAGACATATATTAAAATTCTTTAGGCCAGATCCCAAGCAGGTATAAATTGAGCTACACCCATTTACACAACTGAGGATCTGTCTAGCTGTGTTCAGAGGAGTTGCACTGATTGGCAACAACTGAAGTATTTGTCTTTATTTCCTACTTTGTGACAACTGTAAAGGGGAAAGGGATTAAGCACTGGCAGCAAGGAGGGAATGACCAAGTCCTCTTCTGTTCACTAGGCTGATAAGGATTTCTGTTCCACTTGCTTCCAGCCTCCCAGGATTCTCTTCCAGTGACTCCCATTTGTCCTTTGAGGTTTTCAGATAATTAACTATTAAATTAAGGGCTCATTTGCCACTCTGAGTTCAGTTCCCCTTCCTGAATGCTGTGTACTTTGGCAACCTTTTCTGGTTGCCTGTTTTTAACTACTTGACAGAATAAGCTTGTTGAATGTTACTCCATTCCTGCATCGTAAGTAAGCTGAGTTAAGCTGTTTTCTCCTCTCTGAAGGGCCACTGCGTTCTGGACAGTGGTATGTTTTTTATTAATTACAGAAACTTCAGCACATACCTGAAGGTGAAGCACTCAAAGCAGGGTGGGTGGGATCTACTCATTCAGCTTTACTTCCCTTGGGGGTAGCTCACGCTGCCAAGAGGTGTGTGGGTTGCCAGTGTGGGGGCTGGTTTGTTTTCTGAGCATGGTAACAGGGGCAATAAGCCATCTTTTCCCAGCTCAGCTAGGGTCACAGAGTCACTGCTGCAGAATGGATGCTGCACAAAGAGATGGTTTCTGTGTGTGAGAGGAGTGCATTTTTTCACATGTCTTTATCCCTTGATAGCTCCTATACTTAGTATTTTCTGCTCTGAAGTCTGGGCCATACACCTCACTTCCAATACTGCAGCACTGTCAAGTTTTCAGTGATCTCCTGTTCCTGGGAGTTTTGCTTCCTAAGCTCCTGGAGTTTGTGAGTTTGTACAAGAATCAGCTTTCCTTAAAAAAAAAAAGAGACATTTTAAAAAAATCAGCTTACAGTATCAATGAGCCTTAAAAAGCCTAAGATGGAAAGACCACATAACAGTTATATTTCTTATTGCCCCTGCTGCTCTGAGTGTTTAATAGCCTAAATAAAGAAATAATGGATGTAGGTCCTGGATCTGCAGCCCCAAACAGTGTCTAAACTGTATTCTCTGATTCTGTGTGATCATCTCTTACCTACTGAGCACCTCTGGCTCTTGCTGGTTGCACTGAGGGGTGTGTGTGTGGGTGGAGATCACCCATGGGCCTGTCAGATCTCCTATATCAAGCAGGAGATGTACACAGCTGACTCAAGGGCACCTGGCAGCTAGACCGTGCACTTTGCTTCCCAGCAGCACATCAAGGCACTTGCTTCTTGCTGTGACAGCTTGCTGGGGTTGTCCACCCTCCCGCCCTGGTTTGAGACAGGACCCTTTCTCCACCAGGCACTGCCACGGAATGGAATACGACCCAGAGATTGCATCCTTTGATAGCTCAGCCCATCTCATGAAGCTCTTGTCTGAAAATGTTTCCATGACCCAAGAATATTGTGAGCCACAGAAGAAGAACGGCTTGAGTCTTGAAGGCGTCCCTCCTCCTCACAAGCCAGCCATGCTTCCACCAGGCACTAGCAAGCTGGATGCCACCCCAGACAACTACATGGTCCCTCCAGGGGATGTATACGACAACAGCTCATTGAACTCCCTCTTCGAGACCATCCCCGTAGCCCCACCACAGCAGAGGTGGCAGCCAGACAGCACTTTCAAAGAGGATCCCCAGGAGGTCAGAGCCGTTAGTGGGTCACATGCTGGCCGTGCAGCCCAGGGGGTACTGCATGAGGCTGTCTCTAGTTTGGGGTTTGCTCGTGCCGGAGTCAGTGGGAGCTTTGCTTTTGCATTAGAAGCTTGATGCCATTCCGATCGAATTGTTGGGGGCTTTATATTGTTTTTGGAAGTAGGATAAAGCTTTGAAATGAGGGTCCATGTTTTATCTGTGGCCTCTGTGGTAATGTCTGGGAGAAGGTGGATGGACAGAGCAATGAGATTCTACTTTTGACTATTTTATTTCCATTTGTCTACAGTCACTACTCTTCAGTGATATCCTCAAACCCCAGCCAGAGCCACCTTGCCCCGAGAGTTATGCTACGGACGGTGCTAAGAGGTAACTGCCAATCCATGGTCTCTGGGTTTCCAGTGCACTTGGCTGTGTCCCTTTCCTGGGCAAAGACTGGCTCCCTGTCCTCACCCCAGTGCCAGGCTTGACAGTAACAGTTGCAAACTTACAGATCTCATGATTTTGCAGAGACAAGTTGTGTCCCCCCGGTGTCTTAGGAGCAAGTTGCTGTTCCATGACTTTTCAGACACAAAGCGGTGATGAATTTTAGTGTTTGTAGTAGGCAGCAGGGATCAGGGTTTCAAATGTTTTGCTGAAAAGGAATCAAAACCAAACCAATCTTAAATTCAAGTTACTAGCTGGAGTTGTGCCAGTTCATGTGTGGTTCAGCCTGTATTCTGTTGGCCAAACTGGTGTAAATCCAGTGCCAACTGCTTCCGCTGCTCTGGTCGCATCTCATCAGCACGTTGACTCAGCACAAGGGGAGATGTGGCACTGAGGTCTTCCATGCGAGGGTTTGATGGGCATTACAGCCCCTTCCCAGGAGCACTGCTTGGTTCCCGTGCTACAGATAGATCCAGGCGGCTGCACCATCTTTCCACAAGCTACTTGGAATGGGGTAAATGACAGAGAAAACGAGGGTGGCAGCTGATGAGGGTGAGAAGCAGCTGCCCCCTAATCTAAGGTTTAGATTCTCACTTTGGGTTTAGCACTGTTAGTCAGCCTTGAGTTTGGAAGGTGCCGCTGCTTCTCATTCCGAAAACATGAGAGAGATTTCTTCCTCCTTTCCACCCCTCTCTCAGGCAGAGCTTTCTTGTTCTAGATACTGCATCAAACCTCCGAGTAGGTAACATTATTCCACCTCCCACTTTTTATTTGCCTCCTGAGCCACCTGACTCCGTGACTCAGCTGTCAGACGTGGGGATTTTCACACAGACAGCAGCTCGTGTTCGTGAGCGAGAGGCTTTCTGTTTGCTGTTTATTTGTGCACTAAAGCTCTCTGGCTCTCCTGGCTCTAGATAAGAGGAGTTGCCAAACCTATCTTCAGAGATGGCATCATAGGGGAGGTGGAGCAGGAAAAAGGGATGAGTTGGTGACTAAACAGGAATACGATGATCTTCAACTCCAGGGTACCTGAAGGGTCTGTGCGAAGGCTCGTGTACAGGTGGTGGCTTGCACAGATTCCTTACAGAAGAAAATAGCTTGAGATATAGCCTCATGGATTGAATGCTCGCAGGTGCTGGTGAATGCCCAAGAGCAGGGCTTCTTGAAAATCAGGCTCTTCTTTTAAATTTGCTTGTCAACAGTGGCTCTTTCCTCTGTGTAACACTGCAGATCTTTTCTGTAAAGACTAAAGTTGCTGCCCACCAGACCAAGAGTTCAACAAGCTGGGCTTTTAAGTCCACTTGTAAGCACCTGGATAAAGAAGCAGATGTCAGTGTCCTGCAGGTCCTCCTGTTTTTACAGGACGCATTAGGACATATTTTTCATGGGTCAGCCATTTATGGGTGTGAATTTGGAGACAGGAATCTGAGTTTAGGACATTTTATAAGTCTCATCACAGGTACCTATTTTTGTTTGTTTTGGTTTAGGCTTTTGATTGTGCAATATTTTTGTAGCCATCCACAGAAAAATACTGGTTACAATAATGTACAGGCTTTTTTAAGCCAAAACCAAAGGGTAAAATGAGGATATCTGAGAACTGCTGCTCCCCAGGGTGCTGGAGAGGATCAGTATGTGCTGCGCTGGGAGGTGCTCGATCACAGCTGTAGGGGTGTGTGAGATGGGGAACAGGGCAGAGACTCCTGTGTGTACAGTGTCTGTAACCTGTAACCTAAGGATGGAGACTTGCATGTCTCCTTGTTTTGCTTTTGGAGTGAAACAGCAGCATGTGCTTATTCATCATTCTCTCTTTGTTCCATACAAGTGACTTTGAATACACTCTGGGGTCACCCAAAGCTATTCACATCAAATCCGGGGACTCTCCCATGGCCTACCTCAACAAAGGACAGTTCTACCCCATCACGCTGCGGACAGCTGGAGACAGCAAATGTTTACACTTGTCCTCAAATAAAGTGAAGGTAAGAGACAAGCTGACAATTTTGCTGACACATGCTGTAATCAGACATCCAGCAATTGTCCTGGCCTGGGAACAGAGCTGAACATGAAGTGTAATGGCTTTGTGGCTCATGTTGGCTTAAAGCAGTGAATGGGTTCGATTCACTCATAGCAAGCTAATCCTCTGATGCACAGCAACAGCCTTCATGTTACCTGGCAGTTGAAACCATTCACAGTAAAGTCAGGATGTAGAAGGGCCTCCCTAGCTGATGGCTGCCTGAGGCCCTTGGTGGGAGGACGTCAGAGCTGGAGAGAGGTTCCCCATCTTGCTCCTGGAATGTGCCACCTCCAAGACTAAGCTGAGTGTGAGTTCCTGGCAGAGAAACCTGGTCCTCTAATCCTGAGTGGTATTTAGGGGCTAGATTTCGGATGTCTCAAGACTTACAGGCTTCCTGAAACTAAGATTGTCTAGAAAAAGATAATTCTTTTCAGCCTAATACTTGCTAAGGTTCCCTCAGCACAGGATCCTTATATGCCTTGGAGTCAGTGGAAACTCATGGGCAGTGCAATTAGGGGGCACACAGGGCATCTCGGGTTTGCTCCTGGCTCTGTCTCGGCCTGCATGACTGTGTTCAAGTCCCTTACCTTGTCTGCCTCAGTTTCCCCAGCAATAAAACATTAACAATGACACTGAGCTGCCCTTGGCCATTGCATGGATGCACTGGATGGAAAGGGCAATGAGATCACCGAGCTTTAGCCTGCTGTGTATACTGATATGGGATATCCTCGCTATGTTGCAGAGTGTTGTGATGATTGTTTTTGACAACGAAAAGATTCCGACGGAGCAGCTCAAGTTCTGGAAGCACTGGCATTCCCGCCAGCCCACGGCCAAGCAGAGAGTCATTGACGTCGGTACGAGTGGGGCTGTTTGATTGCGATGGCTGGGTGGGGTTGATAACTTCTAGCACCATTTTACTCCAATGCACAGTAACATAGTGGAAGCTCCAGATTCTAGCTGGGGGGAAAGTGGGGAGGAGCAGGTTGATCTGCTGCCTTCAGATCCTTTCTGGCTGAGGAGCTCTTGGGGGTTTAAGATGGTGTTTGCCAAGTGTAGGCACATGTGCTAGGAGCCCAAGATACATCAAAGAAAAGCCTCAGTCAGAGAGACAGAAACTGCAAAACTATTTTGGCTCTTACAGATGTGACCCGTGGCCTCTTGGAGTCCAGGAATCTGAGCTAGAACAGGCTTTGGTGCTGCTGGTCCTTCTCCACTGCCACCACGCAGGCTGTACAGTGTGTTATGCTGGGCCAGACAGAGGTTTTGTCCATCCAGCTGAGCACCTCACTGAGCACCCTGCGGCTCGGAGCGAGACACACAGTTGTTTGAATTTAGAAGCAATCTGCATTGACTTTGCATAACGTCACTACTCAAACAGCCGTCACCAGCCAATATCCTTGAGTCATTTCTGGCCTATCCCTTATATATGCACACTAAGGTTTATCCAGTGGTATCAAGGATGGCCTCTAGTATATTACAAGGCTTCTGTTAGCCTTGGAGCCAGTGAGAGGCAGGCTTTTGGGGAGTGGAAAGCCTAGGGAATGTAACCAGTTTTGCAGCCAGAATATAAACTGCTTCTCCATTGTTTCAGCTGACTGTAAAGAAAACTTCAACACGGTACAGAACATCGAGGAGCTAGCCTACAACGCACTGTCCTTCGTGTGGAACATCCACGAAGAAGCAAAGGTACAAACTGCTTGTGGAAGGAATATTTTGGGCTACAAAACCATAGCCTCCTTTCTGACAGCCCAGGCACACTCCCCCCACTTCTCAGCTGAAAGACAGGGAGAGTTTCAAACCCAAACAATTCCACTCCTGTGGCCCCAGGTAGTGTTTGTCTGCCAGGACAGTGAGGAAGGACACCATGCTTCTCTGTGTGTTTAAGCATTGCCATTAGCTAATAAACATGCTGGGTACACCGGAGACTGGCTCAGAGATGTTTTTTTAGTGCTGATGGATAACTCTGAAGAAAGCATTTTGCAGCAGGCAGCCTAGATCAGGCCTCTACTCACATGTAGGTGAAGCCTTTTTTAAATAAACCACAGCTTAGGGAACAAAGACCTTCCTTTCAAGGCAGCATTTCGATGCAGAAATGACTGACCACCCTTCTGTGGCTTGTGTGATGTGGAAGGGAGCCAGGTAGGTCACAAGATCCCTTTTGACCTTAAAATCTGTAAAGCTTTTATCAACATCTTTCTAGTTCTGCTGTCTCTTCTGCATCTCTTCAGACTCTCTCATTAAGACTTTGCATCTAGTGTGGGGAGAACATAAAAAAAAGATGAAGTAACTAAGAAAAAAAGAAAAGCATAAATACCCCATCTCTCTGAAGGTGGTAGCTTGGGAAAACTCTGGTTTGCTTTGGGATCTCAATAAGCCCTGCTTTTAGCCCAAAGGCGACCTTGGTCTTTTACAACCCAAGAGGTTAACAAATGTCTTTAAGGCAAAGTTGTCAGAAATGGAAATATGTCAGGTATGTGGCAAGCCCTGGAGGGCACCTCAGCAAAACTGGATTTAACTCTTAGCAGAAACTCTGGACACGTACTGGCCTGGGGCAGGTAAAGGTGAGACTTCAGAGAGCTGCGAAGGCTGGGAGCCCAACAGGAGGGGTCAGGTATTTGGGTCGTCTGTAGCACCTGTGACTTCTCTTCTTCCAATTAAACTTCACGCCACAGTGAAGTGGTTTTCTTTTCTATGTATAGGTACTGAGTAGATCTGACATCAGGTTTCAGGGCTGATATCCTCAGCCAGAGCCCTGGTGAGGGAGCTGTGGGAGCTTCAGCAGCTGCAACTCTGTCCCCAGAGTCCAGGGGAAATTTCAAGGTCACACAAATGAGTTGGTAATTTGGAGATACAATGCAGGTTATGTCTGTGCTCAGCTTTTCTTCAGAAGTTCCCACTGGAGGTAACAACATCCTAAAGGAGGAGTAGTAGGATAAAGGAGACCACTGTGTGATGAATATTCATTTAACTAGCAGCAATGATTTGTAACTCCTGAAGCTGTAGTCTAGCCCTCCTCCCTGCCTCCAAGGCATTGCTGTTCCAGCGAGCGTCCCTTGTTCAAACGAAAGAGCCAAAATATCAGCACGAACATCCCCAGGCAGACTTTGCATCTGGTCTGACGCTTGCCTGAGCTCATGGAGTGGATAGCCACAGTGTTAATGTGGAGATGGAGAGCTGCAATAGGTGTTCGGGGAGACCATGGCTAGGAAGGACTGGTGGTTGCACTCCGGTGGGAAACCAACAGCTCACACTTGGCTGATGCTGGGAGGGTTTGAAGGATGTCTCCAGAGCAGCTTTTGTTCCTACCTGCTGCTGTTTGAGAATAATGTTTTTGGCACCAACAAGCTGTATCAATCTCTGTTCCCATTTGCAGGTATTTATTGGGGTGAATTGCCTGAGCACTGACTTCTCCTCCCAGAAAGGAGTGAAAGGTGTCCCGCTCAACCTCCAGATAGACACCTACGACTACGGCAATGGAACCAGCCAGCTGGTGCACCGTGCCGTCTGCCAGATCAAGATATTCTGCGATAAGGTAGAACACTGCTTTTCCACCAGGTTGTCCAAGAAGAATTTTAAACTAGTGGCCAGTGACTCCAGGACTAAAAACAGAAAGGTTGTGAGAGTCTAGAACAGCCTAGAAGTCGGGGCTGAGGAATAGAGGTGGTTAGCCCCCCGCAGGTGAGTGAGACAGGACAGTGGGGATGCACCTGCACTGCTGAGGCCCTTGTAGAACAGAGTCATTAGAAAGTTTTCCCCATATCAGACCTACAGGGGATTGTGCCTCATCATAAACTCTATTTTTGACAAGTTTTTAGACTTGTCAAAACTTAAGCAGGAGAGATGAGCATCTTCTTAGAGGTTCTTCCCCAGCCTCAAATATCTTCTCATGAAAAAAATTCTCATGGCTATTTTTATCTGCATTTTTCATTTTTAAAAGCAAATTTTGGTTTTGTTTTTTAATTTGTAAGTATCAGAAAGTTCAGGATGACCTGCAGAAGGTCTCGGAGATAAGCATTTTTGAATAACGGCTGCCTTTACCTTAATGGGCTTACTGCCCAGAGATGTCCAGTAAACTCTCTCTTGCCAGTGTTAGAACTGTCAATGTCCTAATTTTTGCCTTATTTTCCCCACAGGGAGCAGAGAGGAAAATGCGGGATGATGAAAGGAAACAGTTCAGAAGGAAAGGAAAATGCCTGGACTCCAATAACAATGGTCAGTGCTGGTGTTTGTTACCTGATCCGAAGCGTGTTGAAATCCATGTAGGCTTGTCCGTTAACTTCCACAAGATCTGGCCCTGGGTGTTTCCAGGCCTGACGAAATCAGCACCGTTCAGAAACAGCCTGTCAGTCAGGTCCTTGCCTGGTCTCAAAGCCCTTTATTAATACTGACCAAGCTTTCTGAATTGGCCTGGGGTCTTGGCAGGGAGCCTTCCCTAGGGGAGACAGCACTGGGCAAGCCTTGAAGACCTGGTTCTGTGGGCTCCCATCTTTTTTCTGATATTTCTGTTGGGAGGCCTTGGGCAGGAGCTTTCCCCTCTCCGCGTGTAGTTACCTCTTAAACTGCCACCTGAACAGAGATGAACTGGACTTTCCATCTGTAGGTCTGAAAGGCTGTTTGCTCTCTGGCTTCAGAGGGAATGAAATCACGTTCCTGAGGCCAGAGACTGACCTCGAAACCCAGCCAGTCCTGTTTATCCCCAACGTCCATTTTTCCAACCTGCAGAGGTGTGGCACGGTAAGTCCCTGCAAAAAACAACCAACCTGTTGCCCTCATCTGTCACCCCCCTCATTTCCAAACTGATCAGTTCCCCAGACATGATTTGTATTATGTAAAAAAAACAAACCACAATTCTTCTGTGGAAATGTGGTGAACTTGAAGACGTAGCTGTCGGGAGTGGCCTGGATAGTCATGCAACAGTGATGGGCGAGATAGCCTTTCCAGGTTCCTTCCAGCCAGGTATTCCTGTGGTTTGCAGGTATCATCTGCAGCTTCCACAGAGGACTGCAGCGGTAGGAAAAATAGCAGCAGAAAGTAAACTATAGAAAAATGCGACCGTACCAGTCTCTGTGTGTGTGGGACATCTCTCGCTTGTCCTCTGCCCTTCCCTGTCCCCTTGAGCCTGAGGAAACCTAGACCCAGCGCCTTCAGAGCTTGTCAGTATTCCCTCAAGAAACAGCTGTCTCGGTTTGTTGAAAAGGGGGAAAAAGCCATCTGTGACAATACTGTAGGATCCTACTGCAGCGGCTGCTGTGCTGATATGTCAGCATCAAAATCAGGGACTACAAGAATCTGGTTTACAGCCAAAGAACTCACTGAGAAACGTGGTCCTTGATCCCAAGCAGGTTATGAGATTCGACCTGCTTTTGGGTCTAGCTAGATATATGTTCAAGTCTCTTCTAGGCAGAGGAGGAGAACCTAGATAGGTTCTTTATATCAGGTTTCATTTAATCTAAGAAACACACACAGATATTTGGGTTTAATTGTGTAGGAAAAATGATGGACTGGGAGGAGGGAAATCATGTAAAATGTGCCCGTGTTGCCCTCCCCCCCAGCTTCACTGGCACACAGCGATACTGTGCAAACTAAAAGATCATTGTTTCCTTTCCATTTCAAGGTGCTCCCCCCCGCTGTTCCCAACTCTGCAAACAGGTAAGGATGGAGCAGTTAGTGTTTCCCATCCATCAGCTGCTCTGTTTCTTTGGGTTCAGCCATCAAACATGGCTGTTTGATATCCATTGGCAGCGTATACCTACAGGTGCAAAATAACACAGCACAGTGTGTCCCCGATGCCCTTGAGCGTCAACGTGTTAAGCCTTGGCCTAGAGTGGACTCATGGGAGGCAGAAACACAGACACAGATACCTTTCTTTCCCTCTCAGTGAGCCAGTCCAACGTGAGTCTGGTCCATGACTGTCCTGCAGTTCTTAGTGGGACAGTGTTTGAAAGAGGGGAAAAAAAAATCACAAAACTATCACTGAAGGGTTCCAGTAACCCGCAGCAGATACTGCTGTAAAATAAACTGGAATGAAGTAGAAATCACACCTGTAATCTGTCTAGAGTGGGGAGAACCAGTACTTAGCCTGGGCTTGATCCGCTGTCTAGTGATATCAGTAGAGAAACAAGGACATGAAGGTGCAAAAGGCTTTTGTTTATGATGTGATACCAAAACCTCTGCCTGCACTCACTGATCTCGCTGTATGCATTAGGCGGCAAGGTGCAGCTCTGGCAGACATTCTGCTGCCCTAATTACAAAACCGATATGTAATTGCTGGATGTTTGTTAGAGAAATTGGCTGTTCAATCAAAAGTTCAATTGCTGGAATTGTTTTGTTCGCTGCTGTTGTTCTGTCCTCTTGAGAGTATTGTGTTCCTTTTGCTCAGGCTGCCCTTAAAGCGGAGCGGGGCCTCGTTCACGGATGAGTTTGACCCGATACCTCCAAAGCAAACCAAGGAAGAAGATCCTCAGAGAGGTAACCCCTGGGATGGGAACTCTTCTTGAATGTAGTGTCTCATTGATTTAAGCAAGCTGGGATCTTGGATTACACGAGGCCACACCGCTCTGCGAACGTGCTGTGAGGAGCCCTGATGCAGTGCTGTGCTTTGTCTTTTTCAGTCTTGTTGTATGTGCGGAGGGAGTCAGAGGAAGTGTTTGATGCTCTCATGTTGAAGACACCGGACCTCCAGGGCCTCAGAACAGCTGTAAGTGTTACAGAAAAACGGTGCCATGTGAACAAACTGCAGATAAAAGGGCAACGGTACTTGATATGTAGGAAGCTGGAGACAAGACTGCTCATATCTCATGTCTGCTTTCTCTTGAGAATGGAAATGGAAATTGTGAGTAGCAGGTGAATTCTGCCCACAGCTGCTGGCATGGGCTGTGTGTTGTTAGTGCTGCAGTGGGGAAGAACACACCTCATGGCACGAGGTTTTGTTCAGATCATAATGTAAGACTCCCCTTGTGACAGCACATTCATATTTTCCATTGTAAACCACCCTTTCCATTCTCAAGGCTGCAGATGTGCAATCTGAAGCCAATGCTGGCCTCATGCTGGAATTCCCTGTGTTGTGTTTGAGGAGCACACAGACATATTTCTGTGATGATTATCAGCAGCATCTCTGATAACCTGCCTCTCTTTGGAGATTGCTGGGAAGGAAACAAACAATAAACCTCCCAGATTTGGGGTGGCTTTATGGCTGCACTTTAAGCTCTGTTGTTTTTACAAACTTTTAAAAATAGAGAGTTTGAAAAATGTCAGCACAGAGGATTCTTTGCCATCTTCTCCCTCCCCCATCCCTCCCCACAAAGAGGCAAAAACCTCGTGAAAAAGCTACAAAACTCCCCTGCCATCCTAAGGCTGTAACTGCACTTTGCCCAGGAGAGGTCAGCCAGAAAGCTTTGCAGATCAGCCCAAGCCTAAGCAAAAGCTGCAGTCGGAGGCATCCACAGCAGACACAGTCAGACGCTGCCTGTAGTCTCTCTCTCCTTTGGATGCATCAGCAAAGGAAGAGCTCAGTGCTCTCTATGCCCAGCGGGTTGAAGCATCACCCCCAAACAGGCCAGGGAATGAGAGAAAGAAAGCGAAGATTACTCCCCAGGGTTCCTGGCCTGGCAGTAGCTGTCAGAAAGAGAATCGAGGCCAAGCTGCAGCCTGCCTGTCCGCCCGCTGCAAGACACAGATGTGTTCAGATTGTCCTGTTCAGGTCATCGTTTCGGCCCTTTTTTCTTGAGTAAAAGGGAGGGGGAATCCTTTGGTGCTGAATACCCCTGGCTGAGTGGTATCTTTGATTTTTATCATGGGAATTTCATTTTACAAGTACAAAGAATTGCCATGTTTTCTCTCACAGATTTCAGAAAAATATGGGCTTCCTGAAGAAAGCATTTATAAAGTCTACAAAAAATGCAAAAGAGGGTAAGCTAATCTCTCATCTGCTTTTATACCCTACCTCTAAAACCCCATTCTCTTTGGTACCCTGCCATAGGCTGAAATAGCTTTTTAACAACATAATAAAAGTAAAGCCATGTGAGTCTGTGCTATTTGGAGCATATAAAACTCGGATCTTTCTGGGCTTTAAAGATTTGGGATAATGCTTGTTTGTATTATATTTGTTTGGAGTGTAAAGTTTCCCAAGGAAAGGAAGTTCGATGAAGGAGGAATTGTTTGGGCAGTTTAATGGGTGATCCTTTGTGTCTCGGTCTAAAAGCCTGAGGTTATGGAGAACTTATCTTACTGCCATCAGTGAGGTATAAATGTTTGCTTCTCCAAACGAGTGCCTAAATGCCCCTGGCTCAGAAAGAGACTGCACCAGCTAAATAAGAGCGTGGAGAGGATGGGAGATCCCAGCTTTGCCATCCCACGCCCCGACCAGGGAGGTCAACAGGAAACTCTTCACTCACTGTGGGAGGTGATGGATCAGACCCTCCCGGGCACTGGTGGCTCCTGTGCAGCCCCAGTACCGAAACGCAGGGTGAAACTCTTGTCAGGCGCTGCTGGAGACAGGCGTAGCGCTACGAGGGGGACAGGTGAGGTTTGCAGTAAATGTGAAACGGCTTCTCAAGGGATTTCAACGTGGTGTTTATTAATGACCAATCCATGTGGGTCTCCTCCGTGGCTGAGGGGGAACGGTGCCAGATTGCATGAGCTGAGGACCAGCCGCTGAGTCTTCCGTGGAGGGCAGTGGTCTTGAGGTAGAACATTCCAGAAATGTTTTCGGGAGTAAGAACTCCCTCTGGGCCATCTCTGGCAGCAAGTTCTCCCTTCAGCTGACGGAAAGGGAGAGACTCATAAACTCCCAAGCTTATTTTCATAAAGCTAAATCCAGAGGCCTTCTTGCAGAGCGAGCGAGATAGAATCAGGCTTTGCAAGCAGTAGTGACTGCCTGGGAGATGAACTCATTGTTGTTGCTGGCCCTGGTCCAGAGTTTGAGCATGGGGAAAGACAGGCAGAAAAGCAAAGCTGATGACAGGTCCCACGTTACGCAGCTCTGCTCTTCTCACTAGCACAGCCCCCCAGAGAGGTCCTCTGCGTAACAAAATGAGGGAATAGAGGCCTTGGGAAGCTGAGGGTTAGTCCAAAGCTCTGCTTCTGCATTTGCTTTCTGGTGACAGCGAGATCAGAAAGTCCTAAAGCTCCTTGGATGAGATGTTCCCACTCATCTGGTGTCACCATAACTTGATCCCTATGGGACTTAGCCTGTTTGCTTCAACAGGAGCAGAGCTGAAACAAGGCTTGGAGGCAGCTGCAGGATAGGAGGGGGAGAGGCAGGGGTGTCTCTTCCATGCTGTGGTCTGGTGTCACTGAACTGGAAAGCTCTTACAACCCCCTCACCTCTAAATCCGCAACGGAGCAACCTTTCCCCATTTAGGAGGGGTTTTAGATATGGTCCTAATCTTAAGATGATGGATGGGCCATAGTGAGACACCCGAATTTGTCAGGAGGCTCCGGTTCCTGAACTCAGGGCCCTCAGTGCTGCCAGATGCTGCTCACCCCCTAGCCCCAGAAATGGAAATTTTCTCCCCAAAGAAAAAGACCAATCCTGGCGGCCTCAGCAGAGACGGGTTGTCCCATACGCCTTCAGTCAGAGAGTGCCTCAAGTCTGATCTCGAAGAACAACTGCGAAGAACAGGGGTGGTCAGTTTGTTATTGCAGCTTCAGGACTGAGCCAACACTCAGCTGTGTCAGCCGTGGTGGTGGCTTTTGATGTGGCCATCACGGGTCATCAGACAACGACTCCGCTCGGGCAACCCCACCTTGGGCTGGAGTTTTCTGAACCAGCTGACTATGAGCATCTGTGCAGCCAGAGAGATCCAAGCACTGAGGAGCTTGCAGGTGGACCAGGAAATGGCTCTGCTTCAGGGGAGAGGCTACTGGTACTCTGTTTTGCTTTGCCTTTGTTCATTACGTGATCTGAGAAGTAGTGAATGTTGTTTAATAATGATTGGGAGGGGAAACAAACAGAGGTCCTTCCCATCTCTTCCCCAAAATGGAGGAGCAAAGAGATACCTAATGAAAAGAAAAGGCAACACCTGGAAATTACATTAAAAAAAATCATTTTGACACCTTGTTTAATGACAGCTGGACGTCACTGATGCCATAGGTTATTGCTGAAGCGTGGGGGACATGCAAGATTTTCTCCAGTCTCCTAGATGGTCAGGCACTGTTTCCTGCTCCCCCAGATTTAATTTTCCTTTGAATAATTTTATCCTGTTGCTCCACCCTAAACAATCGTCTCTTGGTAATTACAGCGTGGGGGTCAGATCTTCATCTGGTGTAAACCAGTGAAGCTCAGTGGTACTACCTGGCTTTACGGCAGGTGAGGACCTACCATCAGCCATGGGCCCTCTGCATGATGAGCTCATTCAGCTGAACTTAGTCTCAGGGTGACTCAAGAGCAATAATAAGTAATTTCGTATCTTGGTGAGGTTTGGTCTAGAAAAACAATACAGGGCTCAGATTCCTAATCAACACTCCCTTGAATCTTTTGTGGTTGAGAAATCGGATGGAAGCATGGTAGCAAGAGGCGCAGGTGACTTCTCTGGCTTCCAGCACTCCGATAGCCAGAGATAATCGGAGCAGCTCTGCTGCAAGGCTTTTTGTGACAACCCACCCCTGGGAACCCACGCTGTGTCTCGGGGGGCTGCTGTCGGAGGCAGCTCCCAGGGATCCAGGGCCTGGGGACCTGGGCCCCTTGCCCCCAGGCAGCCCCAGCCCCGCTCCTCTCCGGGGCCGGGAGGGGAGAGGCCGCCGGGAAGCTCGTGATTCACCGGGAAGACCCCTGGCCGGTGTCAGACCCAGCGTGGGGTGGGACGCCCTTCCCTGACCGTGCCGTGACAGAGCTAACACCCTGTTGGTACAGCGTGAAAGGCAGCGCAGTGCTGAGCCCTGGGACACAGCTGACCCCAGAGCAGACTGGACATGAGGACAGAGCTCAGAGCTGCACCCCTGAAATCCGGGCGCGCTGCACCAGGGCTGTGACGAGCCTGCCCGTACGCGCTGTGATCAAACGGGCACCAATGATTAATGGAAAAGGGCATTAAAACTACTCCTAGTCACAGTCCAGAGCACAGAGTCCCCATGTCCCTGGGGCTCTTGCTTGAAATCTTGTTTGAAATCATTCTTGCTCTTGTTTTTAATTTTGCCTTTTGCAATTGCACAATTAATGCTATTGCCCCATTAATGACCCCAGCAGAAACCTGGAGGGGATGTGCTTTCTGCAAAGAAAGATAATTTGTTCTCTTTGTTTCCTGCAAACAGTTACAAATTTCACATCTGATTTATGGGAACACAGCGGGGTGATGCAAAGCTGCCCCGTTACTTCCACTGCAGTCGTGAGGGGCTCTTGCCTGGCACAGAACCGCAGGCTCGGGTTTACATCGGCTGCTGAATTGTTTCCTTCTCCCCGTGTCTGCCTGCGACTGATTCGGGTCAGGGACGCTGGGTGTTTGCAGCAGGGCTGGAGATGCGCCCTTGGGTGCGGGGAGGAGTTCGCTGACGGCTGGCCCGCTCGGCCCGCCCGCGTCTGCTCCCCGCAGAGAGGGCTCCGGGGCCGTGCTCAGGGCTCAGCTGCAGGGGAGGCTGCTCTGGAGAGGAGAAGGGCGTCCTACTCCAAACCACTTCCATCTGCTCCCATAGTAGTCTCAGCTGGCTCAGGATAACGCACCCCTAAACGCACCGGGGGAAGAAGCGAGGAGTGAGCAATTCTGCTCTAAATTCACACCCTGCCGTAATCCAGATTAATTTGCCTGTGTAGCAAACACTGGGCCTAGGCATGTCAAGGGTAGAATTGCGAAAAGCTCTGCAGGATGTTTTTTTGTGTTCTGTTATGGCTTTAATTAATTAATTGTGGCTGAGCCCCTCATACTGGGTGAGGTGGATGCTGCAGTGCCTTCTTGTGCCTGCCCAGGGCCGTGGCCGGCCAACCCGCCCGGCTGGTAGGCAGTGAGGAGCGCGGCTGCGATACCGCGACGCTGATCAGCGATGGGGCAGTAAAGGCGATTTTTAGTGGGAATTTTGTGTGGACATTTCGGAGAGGGCCACCCCCGTGCTACGAGGCTCTGTCAGTGATGTTGCTCCCAGTTTGTGACCGGGGATGCTGAGCGTGCAGTAATGTCCAGCCCTCCCGGCGGAGCTGCTCCGCAGACCTTGGTGTGCTGCTCTGACCCAGCCGTTCTCCCTGTCCCGTAGGATCCTGGTCAACATGGACAACAACATCATCCAGCACTACAGCAACCACATGGCCTTTCTCCTGGACATGGTGGAAGCAGAGGACAAGTTCCAGATCATTCTCAAGGAGCTATAAAGAGCCGCAGGCAGCGCTTACTGGGACTTCTCTCAAAACCGGCAAGTTCGACCCACCAGAACTCAGCCTGGTGCCCCACCGTGTTGCCTTGACTTGAATACGCTGCCTCTGGGGAGGGCCTCGGCCTCGCGGCGCCCGGCCGGAGACTGCTTGGAAGATCTGTTACCGATGTGAACGTGGAACTTCTCTCTGTTGAGTTTATTATTATTGTT